AAAGAGATGCGGGGGGGGAGGACAAGCTGTCCCCACGAGTGCTGCGACTTTTGACATGCTCTGACTTAATGCAGAGGGAATTTCACATGGCAACAGCAGAAGATATTTGCAGCCAAGAAACCCATTCGCTTTGGTTGAAGCCAAATTCAGAGGGCAGTTGGCGTGTGGGTGGGGGAGGGGAGAGGAACAGCAGGATGCTCAGGGAAGCCAGGGCCAGACCTCGAGAAGCCAGTGTCACAGCGGTCCATGGGGGATGAAAGAGGGACCCTGCCAGGAAGGGCCCTCGGGACGTAGGATAAACACCACATTCCCTTCCATCTGCCGCCTCTTGGCTTTTCTAAGTCAGTTTGGACCTGTCACTGGATGCATACAACAGCCGTAGCTGCTAGGTGTTTATATCCCAATCTCAAATCTCAAGCTCAAAGTCAATCCCAGTCTGTCCAGTCTGTCCATGTTGGAAAGGACAGAAGGAGGCCTTGCTCTTCCAACATTGTCCCAGTTTTTAGGCTTGTGGCAGGAAAAAGCCATCCAGTATCCCTCTGGTCTATTTGGAAAAGCCTCTCCCTACCTGTATGAGCTACTATAAAAAATGCTGGAATATGTCAAAGAAGAGAAGCAAAACACTGCTCTCCTCGCCGCCTGGTGCCTGCCAGCCCCTCTGCTAGCACCTAGGGAAAAGCCTCTGTCACATCACCACAGAGGAGACACAGAGGAGGGGGAGGCTGCATTATGGGCAGGTGGCAAGACTGGAAAGGAGGACAGGGCTGGGGTACCCCCAGCTCCAGAAAGAAGACAGAAGTCACAGGAGCCACGGGCAAAGTTAGTGCATGGACTGGAGACTCAAGGGTGGCCCTGCAGTGTTCCCCAGCGGTTCCACCTCCAGGTGACGTCTCTGCAGGCCTCCCAAGCCCCCTTCCTGCAGGCCAGGCAGGAGACACCCTCTCCTTCTTATTCTGAAAGGGTCTTCATTCTCTTCTAGAACACAGGGGAGCTGCCCTCCATCCCGGCACAGCTGGCCCCTGCAGCTATGTCTGCACCAAGGGTCTAGGCCCACCTGGCCACAGCTGGAGGGCCCGAGGGTGGACCCCGGACCCAAGCTGGCCAACTGGATTCTCTCTCCTGGGAACCTGATACTGGAGCCAGGAGGGGCTGTTTACGGGCGTGGGCTCAGGAAATGATGGCAGGAGAAGGCTGCGTTAGACCCTAAGCATGGGAAGAGGCTGGCCTGAGGGGGAAGCAGAGGGGAGACAGAGGGACAGAGAGGCGGTTCCTGCCCGCCCCTGGTTCACACTGCTGTCGGGAAGATACCCCCCATACCTGCAACACAAGCTCCCTCCTGCCCTTGCCAGTGTGAGGGATTCCCCTAACCTTCCACCCACGAGCCCCAGGACAGATGTGACCACCTCTCACCTCCCTCTCTCTAGAACTGCTGCCCTGAGCGCCAGGCACAACCCGACACACTGCTTCCCAGAGAAACACGCTCTGTCAGAACTGCCAGCGTTACCTTCTGATCCTGCAGGGGCCTTTGACCCACCTGGAGAATAAAATTGGGAACTATCTGCCCTGCAGCCATCTGCCGATCAGAGTGGGACAGGAGCTGCCACCCCTGAGGCATCTGCCTCATCTTCCAAGGGGCCGTTTTCTGCTCTGAAGGAACACAGTGCAGGGAGTTTCTTCCACAAATGTGAGATGTGGATAAACCCAGGGAGATGATGACCTCCCCTTCCTTGCGCCCCACGCCTGCTTTATAATGGTGTTTATATGACTAGAGAAGAGAGCTGGGGTTTTCTTTTAATATAATAAAATATAGGGATTTATATTAGGTTTTCTTCTTCTTTCTTTTAGTTAAAAAGAAAAAGATTCCTTCCTATTATTGATTAATGACTCTAGTCTGCCCATCCTTCATGAGACCCTGGCTGTCCAGCATAGGGCCTGTCTTGCTGGTGGAGCTGCCATCCACATGACGGCCACCCCTGAGCTGCACACACAAGGGGACTGGAAGGAGGCTCTTGGCATGGGTTTCAAAGCCTTCCTCAAGCCGGGAACTATTCCAAACTACCTTTCTGGCCTTGTCTCCCCTCCAACCCTCCCTAAACTCGGTCACATGCCTTGTTCATCTTTGTTTCAACCTCCACTCCCTAACCCCAGCACAGCACCTGACACGGAGCAGATCCTCAAAATATTTCTGTTGACTTGAAACCACAAATGCTCGTCGGGTTGAATCAATATTGTTCTCTTCAGGGAGTTGAGAAAGAGAAAGAACCATCTGTTGGGATCCCGTCAAGCTCGGGTTGGCCTTGGCTGAATGCCAACCCCTCAAGAAAGTCTCCATGAGTCTGTGACGCATGATAACCCCAGTGCAGTGGAGACCCAGCTAGAGATCCCAAGGTCGCACAGAGCCCACCTGACATATCAGGGCCCGTCCAGGTGCTGTGAGAGCAGCCCAGGGGCACAGCCTCTGGGGATACACCCTCTGACAACACACAGAGGGAACATATAACTGATTGTTCAAACCAGGAAACTTCTGCACATGAACTGGACATTTTGCTGGGACTATTCCAGATAAGCGGGCTGGGTGGTCCCCGCAGGCCATCGATTATGGTCTGTGGTCAAACCCTCCTAAAGAAGAGACAAAATAGAGTTTTCTAAACATAAGAACTTACTAAAACTCAAAGTCGCTTAGGGCCAAGATGGTTTTATTTTAAAAGCCAATTGTGTTGTTGAAGAAAAGGCTATGTTCTCGGCCCATTTTGGCTGTGGTCCGGGGCTGCTTGGGGAATTGTGCTGAAGATGTGTATGCTCCTGGGCCTGGCGTTTTCTGAAAACACAACAGAAAACAGGGAGTGATGAGATAGTGACACCAGAACCTAAAGCCTCCTGAGCCTGGCTGTGGGCTCAGACGTGGCTGGCAAATCCCCACGGAGGGAGACGAGGGCCACAGTGGCCGGAGCTGGGGCCTGTGCACCCTGGAATTGGAGCCTGTCCTTGGGGCTGAGACCTGATCCTGTCCATGGCTCTCCCCAAGGCTGCAGAGGTGCTGAGAGAAGAGAGGACAAGCAAGTGACAGCCCAGGGGAGGCGGGCTCACATCCCACCCTCACCTCAGGGCACGCTTTCTCCAGGGCACCCCCTGTCCCTGGGGATGCCAGCGTCTCCCCGCCACCCTCCGCCCTCAGTGACCTCAGTCTAGTGGTAATGGGTTGGAAAGGATGGATTCTGAACCTGGGTGGTTGACCTCAAAAGCCCAAACTCGTGTGTTTCCATTGTTTTCCCCAGTGTAATAGAGTAAGGTGTTTCACTACCAGGGGCTGTGGACCTCGGGCTCAGGGGGATGTATTCTCAAGGGACTGACGAGTTCTAATTTTGAAAAGCCATGTTTTCATTTTGATGAAATTCTTGAAAAATTATTTAGCCAATTATTTAAACAAAGCTTCTCTTCTGTAGTGATAAGATATAAATGAATGTCATTCTCATAGACGAAGACTTTGATTTCTGAAGTCAGTGTTGCCCATGCTGAGGTGCATCCACATCTTGAATGCCCCAATATTTTATCTTAGAGACATACTGGTGTCTCTGGGTATCGTTAAGGGAAGGGTTTTAATGTCAGACGGGGCTGGGTTTGAGTCCTAGTCCCACCACCAATGGCTCAATATGACCCTGGGCCACGTGCTTCCCACGCCTCACCCAGCAAATGAGGTTTTGAGGTTCACTGGGGGCCCCCAAAGACAGGCAGCACCACCAGGCTGGCAGCAAGTACTGCTCCACACGCTAGCCACCACAGCTATTATTATCCCCTATCATCACCTACTTGTCATTGCCATCCTTCCTTGCAGTTTGTTATCTCTCCAGAAAACAGTGAGAGTGGAAACAGAATTACTAGAGCGTCAGCCCAGAGTGGATGAGATCAGCTGCCCGCAGAAGCTGCTTTAAACGACAGGATGTTTTCCTTGCCAAAAGCAGAGGAGCAGCCTGGAAATCTAATCAACTCCTGGCCAGACGTCAAAGGAAGCTGAAGCCTTTATTAGTGCTCTTAATGAGGAGGCAGCATGCGTGTGGAGTCCTGCAAGGCCAGTCCCCAAACAGGAGGTTCGTGGGCCTGGGCCTCGCAAGGCCACCCCTCAGGAGGCTACTGGGTGTGGTTCTCAGACCTTGAGAACATCCGGCTCCGTCCCCCAGCCCTGATTCCACTGTCACCAAGCAAATTTCTGATTGTCGTTGGCTTCCTTCCGAGTTTCCTACAAGGGGAGACGCTCCACAGAGCAGCGGCCCCAGACACCAGCCCCCTTGCTGGACACTTGTAAATGAATACCACACCTTCCGGCTTCTCCATCAGTCTCCCTGGAGTTTGGTTAGCATGACTCCAACTTCCTGAGGAAGCTCAGCCCTGTGAGCTCTGACAAAAATCTGTGTTTGGGTCATGATAATGCCACTAGGGTGTGAGGACCCGCTGAAGGGATCCACTAGCCTCCTGCTGTTGGTCTGTTTCTAATATTATTGGTGGGGCCTCCCCAGTATTCCTCCAGAGAAAGACCACACTGCTGCCACACTGTAGCACTGCAGCTGGCAGCTGTGCAGCGAGATGGCCTGGGACAACCCAGGGGGTGCTGGGGGAGGTGACCTGCAGGCAGCTGCCTCCTGCCCACCGCCCCAGCTCCTCCCACCCTCCTTGTTCGCCCCCCACCCCGGGGTGGTGCCGTTTTCTTATGAGCAGAATTCGTGTTTCTGTCTTCCTAACCATCTCCAATAAGGCTACAAACCACTGAGTTTGGGGGACTTTCAGACTGAGGTGCTGGTTAGGAACAACAAGGCCAAGGGAATTCAAACTTTCAGCATCAAACAAACAACAGCCCTAGCCACTTTCATAAGCTCCATGTTATGCTTTTGCCATCTTTCTTGGTCTTCTCTAAGCCTCAGAGGCTCTCACACACTCCGAGAATCCACCTTCTTTGTGTATCTCCATGAACTTGAGCCTCTTCCCTGTCTGTCCCAAGTCCTTGCGGGCAGGATGATGGCTCAGGCCTTAATGGTCCCCTTTGGTTCAATCATACTGTTTCTGCTGTGACTTTTTGTTCCCAGAAGACACACACACAAAGAATGGCAGTTCTGGATGGGCGGGGGCAGCCTGTGCCCACTGCTGGCTTCAATTCGTTAAAGGAGTTTCCCCCCAGAGCATCCAGGACATAACACCGATGGCTAATTACTGTGCTGGCTGTTCGCAACTGGACCCATAATTCAGCCACGGGCTTCAGGTCTGGAGTCACTATGAGCCTGAAGCTGGCCGAGGGCTTGCCGAGTAAGCTCTATGCCTTTTGCTGCCTTGATAAGCAATTTTAGCGTATATATACTAGAATTGTATATAACTCTGCTACCCCCATCCGACCCCCAATGCCCACTCCCCACCCACCCACCAGCCACAAAACCTACAACCACATCTGTCTTTTAGGATACTTACTGAACAGGCAGGCAAGAATCGAGGTACTCTGGATTGAAAACAGGAAGTAACAGAACTTACTGAAGGTGTTTTCAAGTTATAATGACCTGGTCCTGGGCCTTCACGCTGTAGAAAAAAAAATTTTTTTAAGTGTTTCATAAATAGTGATATCAGATATATTTTGATGCTATATTTGCCTTTTATGAATAAGCATATGAATCAGTGTGATAGGGTAGAAAAATCCCTTGATTGGGGCTCGGAAGATCTTATTAACGTGTGCCCTGGCCACTGTGAATGGGAATAATACCTGCTTTACCTGCCTCATGGATGACTGTGAAGACTGGAGTTAGGTGACCTGTGAAAGTCTCCCCTGTCCCTACCTGGATGCCCTCTTCTCTCCCAGGCCCCCTGCTCACCCCTGAAGTCCTCACTCCATTCTTGTCCCTCTGTTGACGGTGACTTGCTGCTCTGAGCTGTTAGCTTTATAAAACATGCTTATTCTTTCATATAAATGCAGTATATGTTCTCTTAGTCCAAAAAAAAAAAAAAAGTATTCACAGCAATTCACTGACCTAAGTATTGATACAATGCTATGAGGTTAACAGAAATGCGTGAACACAATTTTAAAAAGACAAACACCTCAAAAGAAAAGTTAGCAGAAGACAATTCACAAAGAGGAAATGCAGTGAGGAAACTGGGGGCTGGGGCGGGCTTTAAGGTCATTAATAACCAAATAAGGTGTAATTAAAACAAAGAGATATTTTTGTAGGGGCCAGGAAAGAAAGAGAGGGAGGGAGGGAGGAAGAAAGGGAGGAAGGGAGGAAGGAAGGGAGGGAGGGAGGAAGGAAGAGAGGGAAGGAGGAAGGGAGGGAGGGAGGGAGGAAAGGAGGGAGGAAAACTTTATCCACAGCGTGGACACTCCTATATAACTCTGGTGGAAGTATTAATTTGATTAGCCTTTCTGAAGCACACAATTTGGCAAGCTATGAAACAGCTTAAAAACAGATATACCTATCCAAAGGGAGAGAAAGAAGAAAGGAGACTGGTTACAAGATTGCTGCAGGAACCCAGAAGACAAATGATGAGTCCTGAGCCCAGGTATGGCAGGAAAATGAACACAGCCCAAACAGCACAGTAGATAACATAGACAAAATGTTAACCTTTTTTTCTTTTCTAGCAATTCACTTCTTTTCCTCTCCCATTTTCAAATACCTGTGCTATTTGACAGAAAAGAGTCTTTCTGGCATGATGTCTTGGATCTGTTTCTAAACAACACAGGAACTAGGGGAAGTGGGTGGGGTATGGACTGGCCAGGAGCTGGTCACTTTCGAATGGGTACATGGGGGTTCTGTCTATGTGGTGTGTATATATATATATATATATATATATATATATATATATTATATATATATATATATTTTTTTTTTTTGGCAGTACGCGGGCCTCTCACTGTTGTGGCCTCTCCCGTTCCGGAGCACAGGCTTCGGACGTGCAGGCTCAGCGGCCATTGCTCACGGGCCCAGC